TTTTTAGCTTTTAGCTAGTATATTTTTTTAGCTTTTAGCTTCATATTTATTGCTCCATTTAGCTTCAATAATTCACTGAACCTCAGTACTCAGCAATGATGCTGTATTTTTTTCACAGAATGTAAATTTGTCTCATCAATATTTAGAATTTTGACATAAAGGAAGCAAATGAGCAGAATTTAAATCCAAACATTTTTTCATTAGTTTTACTTTATTTATTTCTTCATCATCAGTGACTTTTTTTTTCTTTTTTTTAAGTGTAGAGAAAATAGAGACAGAGAGAAAAACAGAGAGAGAAGTAATTAGAAAGATTGAAATAGCGATTAGAAGTATATTAAATATACACCAACAAAACACAGGACCACACACCCAACATCTGTCCGCTCAACTGAAAGATAAATGGATAAATACATGGAGGGCATATATAAATATATACACATACCCATACATATATAAATATATACACATACCCATACATATATAAATATATACATACATACATGCCTACATTCATAAATATTGTCAGTATATACACACAGACATACTGTATATGCACAYTCAGTGACTCGGTCACTGAGTATGGTATTTCTCTAAAATTAAACAAATACAAAGACAAACTTAGAGAAATAGTACATAAAGTACCAAAAAGAGCAAATAACAACAATTTGRTCAAAACTACTGACAATATGTAAGACTACAAGAAGACCTTTACACATTCAACTAAAATGACAATAAAACTTTCATAAAGTATTCCATGTACTCAGAAAGTTATTTTTTATGTGTATTGGAAGAAAACTTAGGAACCACCAAGAAAACAGCAGTCACATAAACAAACAAAGACATGCCCATACAGATTTAGCTCTTGTGGGGAAACTGGGCACTCGGCTTTGGATAGTAACTCTAAATTGGTCACTCGATCCTTCCTTTCTCRGACCAAATCGACTCGCAGGAAGTTGTCAGAGACAAATATTGTCCTGTGAGTCCAAAGCAAACACGCACGTTTGTGTTGCCATAAGGCACACACGGGGAGAAGAGTCATTACTCTGAGGTTTTARTTTGATTCAACAGATTTAGTTTAAGTATGTTATTACCCAAAGCTACCTGTGGAGTCTGGGCTCAAACCAACATGTCCACCAACATTGCAGCGGCTTACGGAGACACAAGAATGTTTCTGTTGTTCTTGTAGCTGTGGGTTTCAGTCTGTTGTTACAGAACATTTAAAGTTTTGATTGCTTCCTTCTTTTAAACTTACTAACAGTGCAAACATTTAGTCCCAGAGGTGAGCTATGTGTGTTCTACAATAAAGGTGTGCATGTTGAAGTGATTGTACGGGACCACGAGGTCTATCAGTTACAGACTTTTCTCATTTTGTGAATGCTGACTCAGCATGCTACATTTAGCTTTTATTTAGCAAATTGCACATTTTACCTATTCAACTAGTGTTTTGCTTCATTTAGCTTTGACCCATTCATTTGAGTCCATGCGGTTATCTTTTCAGTCTTGTCAGAATGCAACTATTTCTCAAAAGTGAGGTCATTCAGAGAGCTATCTACCAATAATATGATACAGCATTAACTGTTCATTACATTTCCACAGAACCTAGTGCTGGGCGGTTTACTGATTTGTACTGAAAACGAGTTTTTATTTTTGTTATGATATGAATTTTCTGAATACCAGTGTAAATAGCCTGAACACGTGCAGAACGTTTCGTCGCAGCCGCCAGTGAACTGTTTCCCGGGGGACACGTTTTCTCGCAGCACCGCTAAGCGCATTAGCATGCTAACGTTACTGTTGGAACAACTGGCGGCAGGTGGTGTTTCAGCCGCTTATATGGTGACGGTCTGACGTAAAAAAAAACATCCCGTTTTCACAATTGCTGAATGCAGTAAACAACTCTTCAGCGACGTGCACGTTAAATTTAACGCGCTACATTATAATGGAGACGTTATTGCATGGAGACTCTAGCGTGCTTCTGTTGTGAAAAGCCCAGGGGGAAGTAGTTTTGTAGTGTAGCTGAGTTGACTGGTGTGCAAGGTGAGTCATCCTTTTAAGTTTTATTTACACGCAATGATAGACCTCATAATGGTTTTTCTCAACCCTTCACGATCGGACCTAAATGCATGATTACTGTCTACAACAACGCAAAGAAGAAAAGACGTACAAGAGGAGGGAAACAGTGATACAGAGGTACAGTCAAAGAAAAGTCAATAAGCAAAGTTTGTACATTTTATTATCAGCAGAGCTGTGAGGAAAAAAATACCATAAAATACAGTGAAACCGGTGTAATTGTTGAAAATACTGTGATATAAAATTTGAGTCATACCGCCCAGTTCTAACAGAACCTCACTTCAATTTAGCAAAGCAAAATAAGAAAAAAAAACTTTTTTGTCAATTGTTAATCATTAGCTGACAAATACCGCTTTCTCTCATAGCTAAAAGTTACAGGTGTTTGTGGATATATTTGTGATTTGTGAGCTTCCATCTTGGACACCTCAACCTGTTCATGATTACCAGTTTACCGTCTGCAGATTGTATACAGAACCAAACTTGTGGACACTTTAATAATCCAAACTTGGTTAGAGTATAAACAATGAGCAAGGACAAACAGAAAAAGGCAGCTGAAACTCACCATGGTGTCTACATGTTTGAGAGGGAGGTCACTGCTGGGTGCCTGTTCAGAAACAACACAGACGGAGTCATTAGCACACGTCAGTACCTCCAAACTTCACCGAAACATGTTATGGTACAATTGCTTTCGTTGTGTCATGGTTTTAGGCCACACTCTGATCTGTTTTTTGCCCAAATGTGGTTCAAAGCAGAGCAGGACTACTCCACGTTCAAATGTGTGAGACCATCTATAATCCCTTCGTGCAAATATTTACACAAAGAGACAAGCCTGCAGCCATTAGCCAGGACCGGAGGGTCCAGTCACAGACCTCTCCTTTTCAATGCCTTATACAGATATGGACAGAGAGAGAGCAAAGGGACATCTAGTGAGATAGGAGGAGGGAGGAGGGAGGGAATATAAACAACACAGAGGAGGGTGGACATCAGGGACCAACTGGGAAAAATATAAAAGCTGGTTAGGGGTTATAAAGGGATAAGATGCATGTAGAAAAGACGTTTTTGTGGTTTTGGATAACCTCAGACTCACACATGCCTGCAGATTTATGAGTCGTATCCATTTATTACGAGGCAAAAAGGAAAATCCATCTTTCCTTCCACACCGATCAACCAGAGACTAAGTGGAGTTTGAGAGTTTAACATTTAGGTAATTTTATTAGAGAAGCACAGAATGACTTGCCTGGCCAAAACTAGAGTCGCCACCTGGATTTAACCAAACAAACAGGTACGAGCCTCCAATTGGATAGTTAATGCACGGGCGATTATCTTTCATCTGGTGACAAGTTAATTAACCCCAGCTGGTGCAATGAGTTGCTTCTCATTCACTTAAACAGCCATTTTGAAAGACACATCCTGTGGTTGTGGAAAAGATGTCAGTCTGTTTGAGAAGGGTCAAATCAATGGCTAACACATCACACTATATCAAGTTGGATCGCTCATAATTTTCTTTTAAATGTTTCACCAGAGCATAATTCCATAATTCCCCAACAAAATGAACTAACTGTGTTTAAAACTCTGACATGACAGGCAGTAGGGGATTGGTATTCCTTGTTTTATTGAGAAATTATTTGCTAAACAGTCTTATTTTTGATCTACTCATTCTAAAACTTTTACCCTTACATTTATTCTGAATCAAAGCCACCATCTTGATCAGAACGCCTTCAAAAAAGAGATGTTTATAAATTCAAGAGAATAAATTAAGACTTTATAAATCCAGTTGTACGTTGGTTCTTTGTCTCTTTGTTTTTCTACTCATTGACTTCAGACTTGCTGGTTTCTGGAGACCAGAGTAAGTGCAGTCTGRTGTCATTCATTCGAGCAGTCTCATTTTGTGGCTCTTTTTCTGTTTGAGTGAAACCTTGGATGTCTGTGGGACTCCTGAAAAAGCACTGCAATATGTGGCTTCATAGCTGATGTCATATCTTCAGCGGCCATGTTTAATTGTGACCTCACAGTTAATTTCAGCTGTTTAACGACATATTTTCTAAGATTTACTCAGTTGGAATAACATCTTGTTTGGAAAGTGCTGAATCTGTGTAGCAGTGATCCCTGGAAAGTCCCACACAGAGAGCTGCTTCTGTAGAAAGCTCTGCTGAAATATAAACAGTAAAAATGCAAAAGGGTAAATTATAGTCTGACTGTACAGAACCGAGAATACAGACTCCAAACGCCCAGACGAAACCACCAACTGTGGAGAGTGTAAGAGCTCTTCAAATCACCCAAAGTCTGCTCCAAACTGCAGCTTCACCACTGAAAACCTACAACACTGAAAACTAAATACCTGCTATTCAAAAGCTGCATCTAGGACTAAAGGAAGAGGAAACAAGTGGCTCTAAATACAGATTGTGGATTTACTCCTGGGCCAAAGTTTGCAGCCGCAGGCTTTTTCACACAAATAGAGCCTATTGTTGCACAACTGCAGCCAGATGGTTGGTCTGAGTCTGCGTGTGTTGCTGCTGGTGAAAGAATGGGAAGTTGTGTATCAGCAAATTAGTCCAAAATCAAGTCTTTCATTGTTTCTATATCCTGATTTAAAAATGGTTTTGAAGAGAAACTTTTTGATACAGTTAGTGGTATTAACATCACACATTTATAGTGTCATTTTAAAAGAGTTAAGGTTTTAAAAATAAAAAAAATGCAGAATTGAGCAACATTGGCTGCAAAAGAAAGTTTAGATATAAAGGTCAAGACCAGGGATCAGTGTTGGGTTCAAGTTAAAAAGTGGATGAGAACACATCTTGAGATCTTTAACTTGTTAATGTCATCCATCCATCCATCCATCCATCCATCCATCCATCCATCCATCCATCCATCCATCCATC